AATACTGCATTTTTAAAACTATTCCAACCCTCTTGGTTTTCTTCTGTTTCTTTCTAGTTCTTGTTCTTGTTTATTTCCTCTTATCTCCATGTGGAAGTGGAGCAGAATTCTTCCTCCTTAAGCCATGTTTGTTGTAAGAGGCAACTAAAATGCTGGGAGCAAGGGGCTAGTAACCCCTTCTCCTGCATAAATTACTAAATTTAAAGGTCAAAACTTTTGTTTTTCTTTTTGGGCCAACCTGCCTCAGTGGGATACAGCCAGTTTGTTGAAAGAAAGAAAGAACACACAAGATAACAGGTATGTCCTGCTACTTTTACTTACACTTGGGTCACACTACACATGCATGTATATGTTTATATATACACACTCATCTGAGTTTTCTTTGATTTTATCTTAATAATTCTTGTTCTTATTACATTTCCTGTCAAATCCATGGAGAAGTGGAATAAGAATCCTCTCTACATAAGCCATGCTTGTTGTAAAAGCAACTAATATGCTGGGAGCAATGGGCTGGTAACCCCTTTTCTCATAGAGCTTACTAGAAATAATAAGAAAAATCAAAATTGTTGTATCTGAGTGCCTCTGCAAAGACATTGATTATGTATAAATGATGATGAAAGTGTTGAGCAGTGATGAAAGTTTTTTCTTTCTTTTTGGGTCACCCTGTCTTGGTGGGAAATGGCTGACTTGTTAAAAAAATATATATATACAGTCATTTGGTTTGGTCATTTAGAAAGGATGGAGCAGAATACAATGACTTGGTGGGCGTATAAATCTGTAGCAGAGGGAAGGAGGGGTATGGGTCATCCTAGGAAATGATTGAGGGAGGGGGTGAAAGAGGTTTTGCATGCAAGGGGCTTGGATATGCAGCAGGCATGTCTGAGCATATTAGATAGGTGTAAATGAAGATGAATGGTTTTGGGGACCTGATGAGCTGTTGGAGTGTGAGCAGGGTAATATTTTGTAAAGGGATTCAGGGAAACCGGTTAGCTGGACTTGAGTCCTGGAGGTGGGAAGTACAATGCCTGCACTTTAAAGAGGGGTTTGGTATATTGGCTGTTTGGAGTGACATCTACACTATCATATCTGGGCACCTCTGCAAAGACAGTGATTATGTGTGAATGATGGTGAAAGTGTTTCTTTTTTGGGTCACCCTGCTTTGGTGGGAGAAGGCTGGCATGTTGAAAAAAAAAAAAACAGTCACTGGACATGTTCCTTGAACTGCTGCAGTCTATGGAACCCTTTGATAGATGGTGTCATGCAGTGGTGTCTTACACTCCTTGCACATAAAATGAGTGTCTCTGCATCTTTGTGGCCATTATTTTGTACATGCACAGATATAACATCTCTTCTGAGCCCATTTCTTCTTAGTTGAAGGAAGTTGTATTACGAAGTCATCACCTTGCCGCCTCAAACGAGTACGTAATTGGTGATCAGTTCATGGATGGTTTTTTATTGTAGGTGTTGAGACCTGGTACTTGAATATAGTTGTCTGATGACAAACAGAATTCACCATACGGTGGTCTGTTGCCAGTCTTTACTTGGAACATATTATATGCATTAGTATGGCAGTGTCCATGAGATGGAAGAAGAGTTTCATGTACCACTTGTAACTTGTGAACAAAATTGGCAAACCCAGTTTGCATGTCACATTTGTCCAACTTATGAATAGTTTGTATGTAGTTAGTCACTGTTGTAGGTTATAACCCCTTGACTGTCGCAACTCCAAATCCTGAGGTGTCTCCTGGTGTCACAAAATTCCCCCCTCATTATTTTTTCTTATAAAATGATAGAGAATCTTTTCCCGATTGTAATGATGCCAAAAGAACAAAATTTGATGGAAAACTGACGGAATTATGCACTCGTCAAGTTAGCAACCTCTGCGATATTTACGAATCAGCAATTTTGCCCAATTTGAGCTCTATTTTCGGCTAATTCCATTGTTCCAGTTGACCAAACTCATAGCTATTTCTTTAGAACTCCAGTTTTTCTATCGATTGAGTACAAGAAACTGCCCATTTACCGATTTCAACTACCCAATAACGTTGTCAGAAATTTGCAATTTGGCCAATTTCACAAAAATTTAAAAATATGACAATTTCAAAATAGGTTCCAGAATGAACAATGCAAACATTCCTGGCTCTAAAATAACATTTTCTATGTTCATCAGTCACATCTCCACGCCTCTCTGATATTGCCCTTGCTTTCTATTTTGAATTTTTATTCAAACAAAAAATAAAAGATTTACTGTTATGCAGACTACTGCAGTATTGTAATAATTGTATAAATAATGTCAACCCATTCATGACTGCATATTAGAATAGCTACTTGGACATTTATTGGAAAATGACATCATTTGTTTACTTTTGAACATCGGCAAAAATCAAACATTTCAAGGTTCTTTTCATAGTAAAACCAATCAAAATCACTTCTTTTTCTATGTTTTCATTCTATCAAATGAGACCAAGAAAATGAGAATACAACCATAAATACTATAAGAAAATAGACCACAAAGTCGGCATTTTAATTACAGGTGACGGAAAAGAATAACAGAGCGGCTAAAAGAGGCCATTATATCTGAAATGCGTAGGGAGTCACTGGTCAGAGAAATAGCAAACATCGAACTTAAGCTAAAGGAATCTTATAGGAGTCAGGAATTCTGGGAAGAACTAAAAGCCATAAATGAAATCGAAAAAACCCAAAGTATTTCTTTTCTTTTGCCAAATCAAAGTTGAGAACAACATCCAGTATTGGGCCCCTACTTAAACAAGATGGGTCCTACACAGATGATAGCAAGGAAATGAGTGAGCTACTCAAGTCCCAATATGACTCAGTTTTTAGCAAGCCGCTTACCAGACTGAGAGTCGAAGACCAAAATGAATTTTTTATGAGAGAGCCACAGAATTTGGTAAACACAAGCCTATCTGATGTTATCCTGATGCCAAATGACTTTGAACAGGCGATAAATGACATACTCATGCACTCTGCCCCAGGGCCAGACTCATGGAACTCTTGTGTTCATCAAGAACTGCAAGAAGCCCCTATCACGAGCTTTTACCATCCTATGGAGAGGGAGCATGGACACGGGGGTCGTCCCACAGTTACTAAAAACAACAGACATAGCCCCACTCCACAAAAGGGGCAGTAAAGCAATAGCAAAAAACTACAGACCGATAGCACTAACATCCCATATCATAAAAATCTTTGAAAGGGTCCTAAGAAGCAAGATCGCCACCCATCTAGATACCCATCAGTTACACAACCCAGGGCAACATGGGTTTAGAGCAGGTTGCTCCTGTCTGTCTCAACTACTGGATCACTACGACAAGGTCCTAGATGAACTAGAAGACAAAAAGAATGCAGATGTAATATATACAGACTTTGCAAAAGCCTTCGACAAGTGTGACCATGGCGTAATAGCGTACAAAAGTGTGGTAAAGGAATAACAGGAAAAGTTGGTAGATGGATCTATAATTTCCTCACAAACAGAACACAAAGAGTAGTAGTCAACAGAGTAAAGTCTGAGGCGGCTATGGTGAAAAGCTCTGTTCCTCAAGGAACAGTACTCGTTCCCATCTTTTTTCTCATCCTCATATCTGACATAGACAAGGATGTCAGCCACAGCACCGTGTCTTCCTTTGCAGATGACACCCGAATCTGCATGACAGTGTCTTCCATTGCAGACACTGCAAGGCTCCAGGCGGACATCAACCAAATCTTTCAATGGGCTGCAGAAAACAATATGAAGTTCAACGATGAGAAATTTCAATTACTCCGATATGGTAAACATGAGGAAATTAAAACTTCCTGAGAGTACAAAACAAATTCTGGCCACAAAATAGAGTGAAAAACCAACGTCGAAGACCTGGGAGTGGTCATGTCGGAGGATCTCACCTTCAAGGACCTTAACATTGTATTAGTCGCATCTGCTAGAAAAATGACAGGATGGATAATGAGAACCTTCAAAACTAGGGATGCCAAGCCCATGATGACAGTCTTCAGGTCGCTTGTTCTATCTAGGCTGGAATATTGCTGCACACTAACAGCACCTTTCAAAGCAGGTGGAATTACTGACCTAGAAAATGTACAGAGAACCTTCACGGTGCACATAACGGAGATAAAACACCTCAGTTACTGGGAGCGCTTGAAGTTCCTGAACCTGTACTCCCTGGAATGCAGGCAGGAGAGACACATGATTATATACACCTGGAAAATCCTAGTGGGACTAGTACCGAGCTTGCACACGAAAATCACTCAAAATGAAAGCAAAAGACTCAGCAGACGATGCAACATCCCCCCAATGAAAAGCAGGAGTGTCACTAGCACGTTAAGAGACAATACAATAAGTGTCAGGGGCCCGAGACTGTTCAACTGCCTCCCAGCATACATAAGGGGGATTACCAATAGACCCCTGGCAGTCTTCAAGCAGGCACTGGACAAGCACCTAAAGTCGGTACCTGACCAGCCGGGCTGTGGCTCGTATGTTGGATTGTGTGCAGCCAGCAGTAACAACCTGGTTGATCAGGCTCTGATCCACCAGGAGGCCTGGTCACAGACCGGGCCGTGTGGGCGTTGACTCCCGGAACTCTCTCCAGGTAAACTCCAGGTAAACAGTAAATGCTTGATATAAAAGGCTAGTGGGAGATTATCCAAGTGTATGTTAAATCGAAAAATGTTTAAGAATAGCAATAAAACTTAGTAAAGTACTCTGCTGTATACCTAATAAAGTGCTATACACACAATTTATATACTGTGATAAACATTGAAAAAAATGGAGTTAAAAGTAAAATTTACCCAATAAAGAATTTTACCCATAATTTTAAAATTCCATTATATCAGGGTCCATTATGTCAAGGGCGTACTGTATCTTGGTTCAATCCAGTAATACTTTGGAGTAATATTTTTATTCTGGTGTGTGTATAAATTGTTTTGGTTTTCTCACTTGTCTTGTACCCTTGAAGTTTCACTTATCTTTTACATGTTTTCGTTCGTCTCTTCAGATCTCAGTATGATGAGGAAGGAGATCGTGCAGCCCTGCTGGAGGAGGTGTTGGCACACCTTAGTGAAAGTGATCAAACCCTTGCCACCGGCCAAAGCAGGTCAACTTCCCGGGAGTTAGCTGGCATACTTCGCAACCTCAAAAAAATTGAGCATGCTTTAGAAGGTACTGCATAACCAAATTTATGTTTACAGCGATTACTTTTAGACACTTGATACGTCTTTTTTTTTTTATCTAGCAGCTCTATGTGTAGAATTCTTTTTTTTTTTTATTTTAAATGCAGTATTTTGTTTAAATCAGTTACGGTGGACCCTTGGTTATCGGCTATAATCTGTTCCAGAAGGTCAGCCTACATCCGAAAAGGCCAAAAACCGAAATAATATTTCCCATATGATAGAGTGGATAGAGGAGCAATGTGGCAGATGTTGCAAGTATATGGAATAGGTGGTAAGTTATTAAATGCTGTAAAGAGTTTTTATGAGGATAGTGAGGCTCAGGTTAGGGTGTGTAGAAGAGAGGGAGACTACTTCCCGGTAAAAGTAGGTCTTAGACAGGTATGTGTAATGTCACCATGGTTGTTTAATATATTTATAGATGGGGTTGTAAAGGAAGTAAATGCTAGGGTGTTTGGGAGAGGGGTGGGATTAAATTATGGGGAATCAAATTCAAAATGGGAATTGACACAGTTACTTTTTGCTGATGATACTGTGCTTATGGGAGATTCTAAAGAAAAATTGCAAAGGTTAGTGGATGAGTTTGGGAATGTGTGTAAAGGTAGAAAGTTGAAAGTGAACATAGAAAAGAGTAAGGTGATGAGGGTGTCAAATGATTTAGATAAAGAAAAATTGGATATCAAATTGGGGAGGAGGAGTATGGAAGAAGTGAATGTTTTCAGATACTTGGGAGTTGACGTGTCGGCGGATGAGTTTATGAAGGATGAGGTTAATCATAGAATTGATGAGGGAAAAAAGGTGAGTGGTGCGTTGAGGTATATGTGGAGTCAAAAAACGTTATCTATGGAGGCAAAGAAGGGAATGTATGAAAGTATAGTAGTACCAACACTCTTATATGGGTGTGAAGCTTGGGTGGTAAATGCAGCAGCGAGGAGACGGTTGGAGGCAGTGGAGATGTCCTGTTTAAGGGCAATGTGTGGTGTAAATATTATGCAGAAAATTTGGAGTGTGGAAATTAGGAGAAGGTGTGGAGTTAATAAAATATTAGTCAGAGGGCAGAAGAGGGGTTGTTGAGGTGGTTTGGTCATTTAGAGAGAATGGATCAAAGTAGAATGACATGGAAAGCATATAAATCTATAGGGGAAGGAAGGCGGGGTAGGGATCGTCCTCGAAAGGGTTGGAGAGAGGGGGTAAAGGAGGTTTTGTGGGTAAGGGGCTTGGACTTCCAGCAAGCGTGCGTGAGCGTGTTAGATAGGAGTGAATGGAGACGAATGGTACTTGGGACCTGACGATCTGTTGGAGTGTGAGCAGGGTAATATTTAGTGAAGGGATTCAGGGAAACCGGTTATTTTCATATAGTCGGACTTGAGTCCTGGAAATGGGAAGTACAATGCCTGCACTTTAAAGGAGGGGTTTGGGATATTGGCAGTTTGGAGGGATATGTTGTGTATCTTTATATGTGTATGCTTCTAGACTGTTGTATTCTGAGCACCTCTGCAAAAACAGTGATTATGTGCGAGTGTGGTGAAAGTGTTGAATGATGATGAAAGTATTTTCTTTTTGGGGATTTTCTTTCTTTTTTGGGTCACCCTGCCTCGGTGGGAGACGGCCGACTTGTTGGAAAAAAAAAAAAAAAAAAAACTATTAATCCATTCCAGACACCCAAAAATATTAACAAAAAAATACATTTTTTAAAGATTAACTATAGTTTTACATACATAAAACAATGAGAACTAAATAAAATAAATGAACATTTAAATCACTATTACATACCTTTATTGTCGGCTTATGGAAGACAGGGAGGAAAGAGGGAGGACTGATTATTGTTTGGAAAGGGTATTTCCCTCCATAACGACTTCAGATATCAAAGCCGTCTCTGGGATTACTTCCCTTCTTTTTCTTTTACTGCCGCTAGGACCAGCTTGAGAGTCACTGCACCCTTCGCACAAAACAACTGTCCAGAGAGGTCCGTTTCTGGCGTCTCTTTAAGATTTGCCTGAAGTGGGACAAGGTTTTGTCACTTGAACATGTTGCAGATATGGCTTGTTTCAGCTTGGTCAGGGTGATATTTCTCTACAAAACTTTGCAACTCACTCCACTTTGCACACATGTCCTTAATCACTGAAGAAGGCACCTTCTCCCCTCTCTCTTTCTCCTCCTCTAAAGCAATTTCCTCAGCTGCGATCTGTTGCTGTTGCAGATGAAGGTCTTGCAGCTCTTCAGTGGTTAGCTCTTCCCTGTGGTCCTCCACCAACTTTTCATCAACATCCTGGCCACTCACATCCAACCCCATGGACTTCCCCAAAGACACGATAGATTCCACAACAGGCATAGGGTTGTCAGGGTCAGCCTCAGACCCTTCAGAATCCTTGTCGAAGGACACATTCTGGCCACAATTTTCTCCAAGCAGAGTTCAAAATCCTGGAAGACACTCCTTGCCAAGCCTTACCTGTAAGCCTTATGCAGTGGAGGATATTGAAGTGATTCCTCCAGAACTCTCTTAGGGTCAAGTCAGTGTCCTAGGTCACTTCAAAGCACCTTCAAAGCATTTCTTTCATGTAGAGTTTTTTGAAGTTAGAAATGACCTGCTGGTCCATGGGCTGGATGAGAGGAGTCTTGTTAGGAGGCAAGAACTTCACTGTTATAAAACTTAAGTCCCTAAACAAATGGTCTTCCAAGTCTATAGGGTGAGCAGGAGCATTGTCCAGTATCAGGAGGCATTTGAGTGGCAATTTATTTTCCTGGAGGTATTTTTTAACACTCAGGCCAAACACTTCATGGACCCAGTCAATGAAAATTTGCCTTGTGACCCATGCCTTATTATCAGCTTTCCACAACACACACAATTTACTCTTGACGTCATTGTTTTTCTTGAACACTCTGGGATTTTCAGAGTGATACTCCAGTAAAGGCTTCACTTTGAAATCCCCACTAACGTTACCACAGAACAAAAGAATAAGCTTATCCTTCATAGGTTTGTGTCCTGGCAGTGCCTTTTCCTCTTGCGTGATGTAGATCCTCTTTGGCATTTTCTTCCAGAAGAGGCCTGTTTCGTCACAATTGAAGACTTGTTGGGGGAGGAATCCTTCAGCCTCTACGTACTCCTTAAATTCATGCACGAATTCTTCAGCCGCGCATTTGTCTGACCTTGCAGCCTCGCCATGCCTTACAACACTGTGTATGCCACTACGTTTCTTAAATCTCTCGAACCAGCCTTTGCTGGCCCTAAATTCACTAAGAGCAGCACTCTTTCCAGGCATTTTATTCACAAGATCTGCATGCAACTTCCTTGCCTTTTCACAAATGATTGACTCCACAACACTATCTCCTGTTAATTGTTTATCATTGATCCACACCAACAATAGCTTCTCCACATCTTTGATTATTGGTGACCTTTGTTTCGTTAGCATATTTACCCCTTTCGCAACATTAGCTTCCTTAATTTCTACTTTCTTTGCCAGGATGGAAGTGATTGTTGATTTGGATTTCCCATACATCCTGGCAAGCTGCAGCACACGTACACCACTCTTGTACATTGCTACAATTCCTTTTTTTAATTCCATCGTGTTTCTCACTTTCTTTACCAAGGGAACTTTCTTTGGGCCCATGGTGGCTTATTTTGCAGTTGCACTCAATAAACACCCAGAAAAACAATAGATTATAACAAAATATTTGGATGAATGCGTGGAGTCTTCCTGAGAGACACGTCCAAACTGACTCATGAATGTGGCAGAGTGGCGGGATGGATGCGTCCAATACGGCCGATTTCCGAGTTGACAGCTGAAATCTGGGATAGAATTTCGGCCTAAAAAGCAGCCAAGATCCGAATTGGCCAATATCCGGAACAGCTGATAACCGAGGGTCCACTGTACTGTGTTAGTAAAGTTTGGTTCTGTACAATGAATAACTTTAAGAAAGTTCTTCATGACATAACAGCCTTAAATACTAAAAGATGGCATTCACTGTAAAATATATAGAGGAGTGAAGTACAGTAAAAATAATTGAGGGAAAGACACTTGGTGTTGAGCTGGTACAGTGGACCCCTGGATTACGTCGTCATCGGAATATGTAATATTCGGAATAAGTAATGTTTTTTCGTCAAAATATTGGCTTGGTGATCGTCACTGAACTCTGTATAAGTCATTTGTCTGGAACGTGTCTGTGCGGCCTGAGCGGCCCCAACACTCCATGTCCAGCCAGTGTGCCATTGTTTACCAACCAGTGAGAACGATTCTACACTTTCATACAATACATTTTGTATTCCATTCTTTTTACTGCTTGTAACTGCTAAATGAGCCACCATGGGCCCAAAGAAAGTTCCTAGTGCCAGCCAGCCCTTTGGTAAAGGGCTGAGAGAGAGGAGAGAATGTGCCTCTTTCAGTGATTTTGCAATATGTACAATACTAAAGCAGCAGGAGTCGATAAAGGCTATAGCGCTAGTCAGCGATAAAGTGTAGCATTAACAGTGTAGCAAGTAAGTTAAGCGATTAATTGGTAGAAAAAGGACAGCTTGAAATTGACTCCTTGATTGTTGTTGGAGGTACACCTACCATCCGACTTACGACCTGCTTGACTTACGACCACTCGACTTACGACCGTGTTTTTTATGCCAAATTTCTGGGAAATAAACAACTATTTGTGTTGTACACAGTGTTTATCCTAAACCTTACAGTATAAAATACAGGACTAACAGCATAAAAAGTAAAGTAAAACATGAAATACCAAAATAAAACAAAATAAAGTCATTACAAAAATGTTTTGTTGATATTCAGTAGTAAAGTTCGGCTTACGACCATTTCGACTTACGACCAGTTTCTCGGAACCGAACTTGGTCATAAGTCGGATGGTAGGTGTATATAGGGCTACTAACATTGCCGTCTCTGCTGCCTCTTGTTGCCGCCTTCACCACCACTATGTAAGGCTTATCTTTCAGTGGCCCTTATACACTCAACAACAAACAACACACCACTCATGACATTCTTAATGCCAGAT